TTCCTCCAAAAGCAAAGTTACAAGCCCTTGGTCCACAACCAAGCACAAAACAGACAAGTTGAGAGACTCCAAGGCAAGGCGCACAACCGAGACCTTCAAGAACTCAAAACGAACACGAACATGGATGATCATCGAGTGTTCAAACAATGACGTCCAAGTCTTAAGGACGGTTAAAAATGGGATGTCTACACATTTCTTCTCCCAAAACATTATATATATACGATGTATTTAAATTCATCGTCATATACAATGACTAACCATAACACATATTCAATGCCTTAATCATACCATCATATTCAATGACAAACTTAAATAATTAGTTTCAATTCACCTAATCCTCATACAATTTCTACAACAATCATAGCTATCCTCCACAGATAGCCCAATACAGATATTTCTAAATAGATATACAATCTTTATAACAGATAATTTATCAAATTTCCATGAATAAGTGATTAAACAAATCCAACTACACCATTCATTTACACCTTTTCCCAATTTCACATTTTGCACATCAATTTTATTATTTATACAAAATAATATTCAAGACACATTTAGGGTAAATCTCTTCCTTATTCAAATATTAGCCCAAAGGCTAAAATTCACCATTTTAACACAAGATATCCTCATATTCATAACCCCATAATCATCTGTGTAACATAATATAGAAATCCCTCTTTCAAATTTGAGACCAAACCCTAAGTTTACCCAAAACTCCCAAAATTTCCACCATTTATGCATAACTACAAATAACTAGGTTAAAACTCATAAAAAAGTATAGAATATCCCTACCTCAAAGAGAGAAGATGAGCCAAACTAGAGAGAAACCCCAAAAGTGCCGAAATCCAACTCTAATCAGTTCAAAGAGAAGATCTTGAGAAGCTCTACCTCTTTATCAAATGGAGTAGGATGGAGAGATCAAAGGATCTAGGCCAAAATGTGGAGAGAGAGAGAAAGAGAGAGAGAGAGAGAGAGAGAGAGAGACTATTTTAGAGAGAGAGGCTCTCAACTTTAGGGTTTTGGCAGAAAAGATATGAAAAAGTGATGTAAAAAGTATTTTTCACAATCTGATATACACATAGTCCGCTCGAGCGGAGGGTTTCATGCTTGAGCGTCAGACACAAAGATTTGTTCTGCTCGAGCGCCAGAAGAGGCCTGCTTGAGTGCAGAATACATACCTCCAGAACTTTCCAAACAATAGACTAATCGCTTGAATGCCCACCTGTTCGAGCATAGGAAACGACGTTCAACCGTGAAAGATACTCCTCCAGCACTTTTGCAGACATGCAGAGTACCAAGAGTTAACTCTTGGTGGAGCGCAATAAAGGCCGCTCGAGCGGAGGACCGAAATTAACAAAGCCCGCTCGAGCGCAAGGATGGCCACTCAAGCGGAGGACCAAAAATCTGGGCAACACAAAGGTTGAAAACTAAGTAACCAACCTATTTCAAACACAACCACAACAACCCAAAGACCAATTTCAAAGGTATACAAGGAAAGAAAGAGATTAACAACAATATGAAAGCATTAAACCCGAGTCTGGAACATCACAAGAGCCGGGTCAAAACTGGGATCGCTATAATGAACATAAATCTGTTTCTGTGAATTGATTTAGTTATGAGGCATCATTCATTTACCCCTTTACTCTATTATTATTCAATGGGCTTTCAGTCACTATTTATATTATGTATGTAGGTGAGTAGGCACGTGACCAGGCCTAAGCTGCTGCCTGACGAGTTTTTGGGTCAATCGGTTACCGTGCCTCTCGAGGAGGTTTTTTTTTAGAAGTCAAATTTTGTGATCCTGTTGAAGATGCTCTTTTTTCTTTTGGTTTGTCTACCTATACATTAGGCGAAGTCCCTTATGATACTATGTGTATGGAAGTTTGACATCATGTAAGTTTAAAATATTATATGTCCCATGTATATCTGCACAGCTCAATGGACTACGTATATTTTGTATAATTGCTTCTGCAGCCCCTAAATATATGTTATTCTGTTCAGAGGCCTTCGGTAATCCAAGGATTACTGGCCGGTTACGATGCTAAATCTATAAGAACGAGTTTGGGTTGTGACAAAGTGGTATTAGAGCACGAGTTCTACTGCACACAAGAGTCCATATGAGCTATAGGATGTCCTAGAAAAGAATTGGGGACATTTCATTTGCATGTGTGAGCGTGTTTGTCGCGACCTAAACCCGCCCCTATAGGTTTAACGTCATAACCGGCCAGTAATCCTTGGATCACCAAAGGCCTCTTGACAGAATAACATATAATTAGGGGCTGTGGAAGTAAATATATAAAATATATGTAGTCCATCGAGCTGTGAAGGCATACATGGGACAGATAATCTTACACTTTTATAAACATATAAGTGACGTCAAAAGATACAGTATTTTCACGTCACTCCATATACATATAAGCAGAAAACTTATATGTAAATCAAAAGAAACAAAGTCATATACATTCACAAAAACATAGCCACTAAACTTGACTTAATCTGGAACCTCTTTGGGAGGCACAAAGGCTAGCTGACAAAAATTGAGACGCCAGGTCCTCAACTCTGAACCTGGTCACGTGCCTGATCACCTACATACATAATATAAATAGTGAGCAGGAACTCAGTGGATAATAATAGAGTAAAGAGTTTGAATGAATGAAGTCCATACGAAATTCAAAAATCAGAATTCAGATTCGTGAACAGATTCATATACACATTCATATTCATATTCTTTTTCATATTACATACAGAAAATAGAGTTCATGTCTGATCATACGTGGTACATCCATTAGCACTAATAGAGCAGATACATAACAGATGCAGAACAGATGGTGGTTATGAGTAATCAGTTCCATAAAGAAACCTCCAGATTCGGATAACAGATATGTTGAGCTCCATGATGGAGCCTCCAGTACAGGTAACAGAGCACAGACATAATAAGTTCCATAATGGAACCTCCAATACCTGGTAACAGCTAACAGATATCACATGATGCTAAGGATGTCACAAATACATTGTTAGAAATTGGACAATTATTCATTAAACAGAACATAACATTTCAGAAAACATATCTTATTTTATCATACCAAAAAAAAAAAAAATTGAACATAACTTTGCTAAGTTATTACTCACAGATGGCTCCGGGTGCAGACAGACAGAGCAGACTAATCAAACGGTTTACAGCACGTGACCTGCATCAACATATAACAAATACACATTTGAAACACACATTGGAATATACTTAACTTATTACGTTTTGTAATTAGTGTGTTTCTACATTTTACCCTCATTATTATGTTTTAATATTGGCTTAGGAATGCCTAGGATGCAACAAGGATGTCAAAATGCACTTGAACACATTTAACAAAACTTGCTGAAAACAGGGGTCTCGTTCGAGCTTGACTTCCCTCGCTCGAGCGGATATGCAAACATGTGAGAGGATGCTCGAGCGTAACTTTCCCCACTTGAGCGGTCTATAAACTTTGCAAAAGTACTGGTTGTGAGAAATCTCAGCTCGATGGTTGCTCGACTCTCGCTTGAGCGTGAGACTCATGCCCCGCTTGAGCGCAACTATTGCCGCTCGAGCGGTCTGCAAAACATGCAAACTTCTAGGAGCATGCATTTCACGCTCAAGCAAACTTAAGGTCGCTCGAGTGGATATGCAAAACAAAGGTGGCCGCTTGAGCATAGAATATGTTGCTCGAGCGGAAGTGTATAATCTGGAATTTCCAAATTGCACTCCCAAGCTCCAAACTCGAATTCCATACCTCAAAACTCATCTTCTTGGGCCAAAATTTTGGAAAACATTTAGGAACTTGTAAGATATCATGGTTCGAAGATCATTTCATGAAATCAAGGTCCAAAAGTATGTCAATTGTGTAAAACCAAACTCAAACCTTTGAAAACATAACATGCATGAAGTATCTTGGTTCCAAAGCTTTCAAAACTTGATCACATGAGGTGTTTAACTCAAAAACTTGTTGAATTCTTAGGACAAGACTAAAATAAAGACATGCAAGAGGGATTTCTTTGAATTAACTACAAAATCATGAGAATTATGCATGCATGCAAGATATGGCTCAATTTCATCAATTTCAACTTAATTTTTGTGTCAACTAACTTAATTCTCTAGAGTTCATGCTCTACACATCATGATTATACAATCTAAGTTTTGAATTCTTACCTAGGCTTGTCAAGGTGAGAGCTAGAAGCTTGATTCTTGTGTCTCTAAGTCTAATTCCTTCAATTTCTAGTAAATTCTTCCCAAACTTAAGTGTGAACATCAAACCCTCACTCTTGGTCTCTTTCTTCTACTCTCTCTCACGGTTGGTGTCAACAAAATGATGAAGAAATGTGAGTTGAGATACATAAAGAAGCCTTGTATAGGCTTGGTTAGTGGACTAATTAATTAGGTTTACCACTAATCAAATGAGCATTAATTATTCTAATTATTTCATTTCGAATCGAATTTCAATTGAATCTACCATAAAATTCTAAAAATTCTAATTAGCACATAAATCAAGTCAATTTCTGAATTGGATGCCGATAAGGCCTTTAATTCGCAAACCGAAACGAAAACATAAACAGATCTTTTTACGCTAAATAGATATAAACACAAATAAGACAACATATGATGCAAAACTTCACTTTTCTTATTAGGCATAATTAAGCATGGATTAACCTTAATCATGGGTCGGGGTTGTCACAGTGTTAATCTCTGTGAATGCGGAAACTGAAATTGAATACTCCAAGCATGGTGAAAAGAATTATTAGCCTATGTTTATTATTGCTTTGTTTACTTATAGCAACATGGAGAATGTAAGGGGAAATGATACAAGTGAATCTTCTGAGGCCCGAATGAACATAATGGAACAGATACTTGCGACTTTGATCGAAGCCATGATGCAATAACTAAGACAACAATCTTTACCTCATCCGCCTCCGCTGGTGCTAATTGAACCAGACAATAATGACATCATCAACTTGACTCAGAAATTATGAAAATGAAACCACCGACCTTCTTGAGTGGTATTGAACCCTTAAAGGCGGAAACATGGTTGTTTGAGATAGAGAAATTGTTTAAAGTATTGCCTTATTTTGAGACACAAAAAGTTCTTTTGGCCATATACACTTTAAAAGATGAAGCGCGAAGATGGTGGTTGTTAATCCAAACTAACAATGGGAATATGACATGGACTCAGTTCAACGAGATCTTCTATGACAAGTATTTTCCTCAGTGTTTCAGGGACCGAAAAGTTTTTAAATTCCAAGAACTTAAGCAAGGTAGGATGTCTGTAGCCGAGTATGGGGCTAAGTTCACAGAATTAGCTCATTTTTTCCCTCACATGGTGGATACGGATTACAAGAAAGCCCGCAAATTTGAAGGTGGATTGGATCTCGATGGATTTGATAGAGTGGACGTCTTGAAATTGTCTACTTATGTGGAAGTACTAGATAGGGCATTGATGGCAGAAGCCATTCTAGCAACAAAGAAACAAGCTCCAGCCCCAACAACTGAATGGAAGGGTAAACGGTCCAAATTTAATTTCAAGAATGGCCGATCCTTTTCAAAAAGGCAGAATACGGGGTCCTCCAGCAGCTCTAGCCAAAGTAGTGGCTCTGTTTCGAACTGTCCTGATTGTGGAATAAGGCATAAAGGCATGTGTCATCGTGTCTCAGGTACGTGTTTTCGGTGTGGCAAGACTGGCCACATGATTCGAGATTGTCCGCTAAGATTTGATAATGCTAACCGCCCTGCCACAAGTTCAGTCAAGTCCGCTCCTACAACAAGGACCAATGCAAGAACTGATACCAAGAGTAATACTGGAAATGAGACGCTGAGGCAAATGAGAGTATTTGCATTAGTGCCTGGAGATGTGCAAAACACCGAATCTGTGGTGTCAGGTATAATCTCTATCTGTGCTCAGAATACTTATGTGTTGATCGATTCTGGTTCCACACATTCGTTTATATCGCATGCTTTTTCTCAGAAGTTAACTAGACCATTAGAACCTATGAACTATTTATCGTCTGTGTCTACACCATCTGGAGGTTCTATGATATGTGCTTATGTATATCCAGCATGTGATACTGTGATTGGTGATATGGCGTTGTATGTTGATTTGCTGCCTTTGAGCATTGATTATTTTGATTGTATTCTGGGTATGTATGGGTTAACGAAATACTATGCCACCATTAATTGTGTGAGTAAATCTATCGTGTTTAGACCACCTGGTATGCCTGAGTTTGTTTTCACTAGAAATGGGGTAGTTCATCTGCCGTCTTTGATTTCATTTATGAAAGCCAGGAAGTTGTTAAGGAAAGGGTGTCGGGGTTACTTATGTTGCATTTTGACGGTGACTTCTGATAGCTCTACTGTTGAGAACATCTCTGTAGTAAATGAATTTCCTGATTTATTTCCTAATGACCTACCTGGGGAGTTAATTGATAGGAAAATTGAGTTTACTATTGATGTAGTACCCGGAACACAACCAATTTCTAAGACCCCTTATAGAATGTCAACTTTTGAACTGAAAGAGTTAAAAGTCCAACTCCAAGAACTCTTAGACAAGAAATTCATCCGTCTGAGCACCTCACCTTGGGGAGCTCTAGTGTTGTTTGTCAAAAAGAAAGACAAGTCTTTGAGACTGTGTATTGACTACCATGAGTTGAACAAAGTAACTGTGAAGAACAAATATCTATTGCCCCGAGTAGATGATCTATTTGACCAACTCCAAGGAACACAAGTGTTCTCCAAGATAGACCTTAGATCCATGTGTCACCAGTTAAAGGTCAATACGGAAAATGTCGAGAAAACTGCATTCAGAACTAGATACGGATACTATGAATTTTTGGTAATGCCATTCAGAGCAACTAATGCACCCGCAGCATTCATGGACTTAATGAATAGAGTGTTCCAACAATTCTTTGATGAGTTTATTGTTGTGTTCATTGATGATATATTGATTTATTCTAAAAGTAGAGAGGAACATGAAAATCATCTGAGAATTGCTTTACAGATCCTAAGGGAAAAGAAGTTGTATGCAAAATTTTCCAAATGTGAATTTTGGCTTGACAGTGTAACATTTCTGGGGCATGTAATCAACAAGGATGGTATCTCTATTGACCCATAGAAAATTGAAGCTACTGTGGACTGGCCTAGACTAACCAATGTGTCAGAAGTTTGAATTTTTCTGGGGCTTACAAGTTATTATCACAGATTTGTGAAAGATTTCTCCAAACTTGCCATGCCAATGACACAGTTGACATAGAAAACTGTGCCGTTTGATTGGAATGATCAAAGGGAATCTACCTTTCCAGAACTAAAGGCCAGGTTAGTAACCGCACCAATTTTGACTTTGCCTAATGGTACTGATGGGTTTCAAATTTATAGTGATGCGTCATATAAAGGTTTGGGATGTGTACTAATGCAAAATGGGAAAGCGATTGCTTATGTCCATCGACAACTCCGTCTTTATGAAAAGAACTATCTGATCCATGACCTTGAATTAGCAACTGTGGTGTTTGCCTTGAAAATTTGGCGACACTATTTGTTTGGTGTGACTTGTGATGTGTACACAGACCATAAAAGTTTGAAATATTTATTCACCAAAAAAGAACTAAACATGAAACAACGAAGATGTTGCAGATTTTGTACCATCTGGGAAAAACAAACACAGTTGCGGATGCTTTGAGTCGAAAATCCGTTAGCAATCTGCCATGTCTGCTCATCGGGCAGAGAGAATTGTTATGTGACTTGGAGAAAAATGAAATTGAAATTGTACTGCGAGAACAGAGTGGAATCTTAACCGCCATTTCTACTCAACCTGTACTCATTGAAGAGATTAAAGAGAAACAATGTGAAGATATGGTCTTGAGGAAAACTTTTGAAGAGATTGATTCAAAACCAAAGACAAGATTTGTGTTGGAGAATAATGTGTTGAAATTTCAGAATCGATTATGTGTGCCAGACTGTCTGGACTTAAGGAAGTGAGTTATGGCTGAAGCTCACAATTTAAAATTTACCATGCATCTGGGTAACACAAAAATGTATAAAGATTTGAAGCAAAACTTTTAGTGGTCTGAAATGAAGAAAGATATTGCTGACTATATGGCTAGATGCTTGTATTGCCAACAAGTAAAAGTCGAACATCAACGACTTGCTGCACTGCTACAGCCGCTTTTAATACCGGAATGGAAATGTGAGCACATTACTATGGACTTCATTGTGGGATTGCCTTGCTCTTCTCGAGGTATGGATTCTATTTGGGTCATAGTTGATCGTTTGACTAAATCTGCTCATTTCTTACCAGTGAAAGCTTTTTATAATGCGGATAAACTAGCTAACCTATATGTAAATGAGATTGTGAGATTACACTGTGTGCTAGTGTCTATTGTGTTTGACAAAAACCCTAAGTTCACTTTAAGATTCTGGTTGAGTCTACAGCAAGCTTTGGAGACTGAATTGAGACTAAGTAGTGCTTATCACCTACAGACATATGGCCAATTTGAACGGACTATTCAAACACTGGAAGACTTGTTACGGATGTGTGCCCTAGATTTCCAAGGCAGTTGCGAGACTTACTTACCATTGGCGGAGTTTATGTATAACAACAACTACCATTTGAATATCGACATGGCTCCTTATGAAGCTTTGTATGTGAGGAAGTGTTGTTCTTTGATTTGGTGGGCCGAGGTAAGTGATAAACCATTGTTGGGACCAGAACTTGTGCAAGAAACAATTGAAAATGTGAAATTGATTTAACAGAGATTGAAAACTGCACAAAGTCGCCAAAAGAGTTATGTAGATGTCTGAAGGCGAGATAGAGAATACGAAGTCGGGGATCATGTGTTCATAAAAGTGACTCCAATGAAAGGGCAAACTCGGTTTGGTATTAAAGGCAAGTTAGCACCAAGATATGTTGGGCCATATGAAATCTTTGAGAAAATCAATCTGGTGACGTATCGGGTAGCCTTACCGCCGGTCATAAAGCATATGCATAATGTTTTTCACGTATCTATGCTTCGAGAGTATTTGAGAGATCCATTCCATGTGATTGAACCAACTCATGTGCTTCTGAAGGATGATTTTACTTATGAGGAACGGCCAATACAGATTGTTAATCGCCAAACCAAAAGACTAAGGAACAAAGAAATCCCATTGGTGAAGGTTGATTGGCAAAATCATATAGGGACTTATGCAACTTAGGAGACCGAGAAAGACATGATGAAGAGATACCCAGATTTGTTCACTCTAGATAGGGGTGTAATTTTGGCCCCCGGCCCGTGGGCGGCCCGAGGTGGACCTGACCCATTAAGGCCTGTTTAGGCCCGAGCCCAAGCCCAGTCCGAGGCCTTGGGCTTGGGCTTGGGCTTGGGCCATCACTTTGAAGCCCGGTCCGCCCGGCCCACCCACGGCCCAGTGTTATTTTTAATGGAAAATAATAAAATTTTGGTAGAAAAAATTTAAAAAAATAAAAAAAAAATTTTAGGCCCGCCCAAAGTTCGAGCCCAGGCTCAAGCCCAATGGCCCCGCCCATAGCCTGAATACCCTTGGGCCTGGGCCTAGTTTTTTGGCCCGTAGGCAAGCCCAGCCCGATTTTTTAGCGAGAGCTCGCAAGGCCCGACATGGGTCGGGCCGGGCCAAAATTACACCCTTAACTCTAGACCTGACATTCTTCTAAAACGAAGGTAATTCGAGTTTGGAGGGCCAAACTCTTTAAGGGAGGAAAACGATAACAACTCTGACCTATAATTAGTTGATTAATCATGATTAATTATGCCTAATGAGTAAGTAGGATAAAATTCTGAATTAATTACATGTGTGCTACATTATTTGTGTTTCTATCTGTTTATTGTAAGAATATCTGTTTGAGATTCTGTTATATTTTGCGAATTGAAGGCCTTATCGGCATCAGATCACGAAATTGACTTGGTATATGTGTTATGTGGAATTTATAGAATTTATGGTAGGTTTAATTAAAATTCGATTCGAAACAATTAAATTAGAATAATTAATGTCAATGTGATTAACCTAAGTCAAGTTTAATTAAACCTCTTTAATTGAGCCTACATAAGGCTACTTTGACTTCCTTAGTTTATTTTACACCCTCATTTCACAATCCTAAGCTCAAAAACGTAAGAGAAAGAGAGAATTAGAGGGTGAGAGTTGATTTCAAGAAGGAAATTGAGGAATTGGAGAATTGAGCCAGGACTCACCAAGAATTCAAAGAATTGCATTCCTTAAACTTTTATTTGACTTACTCTTACAAGAATTCAAGAGAATTTTAGTTGAATTATGCAAGAATTGAGCTAGTGAGGTAGGAAGGCAGAGCATATCATGCATGCATGCACATTTTCTTCAATTTTGAGCTTAATTGCAAAGATTTCTCACATGCATGCACCAAGCCTACTATAGTTTTGAGAATTTATTATGTTTTCCATCAATTTGCCTACTTTGATCATGATTTAGAAGTTTTGAACTCACTCCATTGCATATATGATATGCTTTCAAAGTTTTGAGTTGACTTTTGAGCAATGGGCAAGCTTTTGGGCCTTGATTTCATGAAATGATCTTTAATTTTCCATGTTTTCCAAGTTTAGACATGTTTGCTCAAGTTTTGGAGCCCAAAGGTTGTGTTTGAAGGCATTGAATTTGAGTTTTGGACTTGGAAGTGCAATTTGGAAATTTCAGAATTTACACTCTCCGCTCGAACGACCATTCTGTGATCTTGCATTTCCGCTCGAGTGACCAAAAGTTGGCTCGAGCGTGAAATGCAGGCTCCCAAAAGTTCACTTATTTTGCAGACCACTCGAGCGACAAGAGTTACACTCGAGCAAGGACCTGAGTCACACGCTTGAGCGACTGTCGAGTGGGAAAATCAAGCAACCAGTACTTTTACAGAATTTTATAGACCGCTCGAGCGACAGAAGTTAAGCTCAAGCGACCACTCATATTTTGCATGTCTGCTCGAGCGAAGGAAGTTCTGCTCGAGCGGGATCCTTGTTTTCAACAAGTTTTGTTTAGTGTTTCCAAGTGCATTTTAGCATCCTAGGTATTCCTAGGCCGAGATTAAGACATAATAATAAGGATAAAAAGTAGAAACACACCAAGATAAGAAAGAACTAAGTTAATGATTCCGAGTGTGTAATTCAGTACGTATTCGTTATGCATCTGTGTAGATCACGCGCCACAAGATATCTGATTTGCTTACTCCGTTTGTTTGCTTTTGAGCCAACTGTGAGTAATAACTTAGTAAAGCTAAGTTCAACTTTATTTATTTTCTGTATGATGAAATAAGATCTGTTCTATGAAATGTTATGTTCTGTACAATAAATGATTGTCCAATTTCTGACAAGTATTCGGGGCTCAAGTAAGTTATCTGTTCCGGGTCCGGAGTTTCCTTTATGAAACTGACAAGTTTTCTGTACCCATCCGGAGGTTCCTTTATGGAACTAACAAGTTATTCATACCCGGTCTGGAGATTCCTTTATGAAACTGACAAGTTATCCGTACCCGGCTAGAGGTTCCTTTATGGAATTGACAAGTATGATCTTCGATGCTCTGTATGTGATCTGTTAGCGCTAACAGATGTAAGATTAAGTATGGATTTCGATTCCTGTCAATGACTTGAACAAGAATATGAACATAAATTTGTTTATGTGAATTGATTTAGTTATGGGACATCATTCATTTACCCCATTACTCTGTCATTATTCATTGGGCTTTCGCTCACTATTTATATTATGTATGTGGGTGAGCAGACGCGTGACCAGGCCTAAGCTGCTGTCTAGCGAGTTTTTAGGTCAGCCAGTTACCATGCCTCCCAAGGAGGTTCTTTTTTGAGAAGTCAAGTTTTGTGATCCTGTTGAAAATGTTCTTTTGTTTTGTTTTGTTTTGTTTTGTTTTGTTTTTTTGTTTTTTTTTTTTGGTTTGTTTACTTGTACATTGGGCGAAGTCCCTTATGATGCTATGTGTATGGAAGTTTGACATCATATAAGTTTAAAATATTATTTATCCCATGTATGTCTGCACAGCTTAATGGACTACGTATATTTTGTATAATTGCTTCCGCAGCCCCTAATATATGTTATTCTCTTCAAAGGCCTTTGGTAATCCAAGAATTACTGGCTGGTTACGATGCTAAACCTATAGGGGCGGGTTTGGATTGTGACAATTATATTTATGGTATTTTATGGGCATTTCTACCCTTACAAATATTTTTTGAACGGTTAGCAATTTGGTGACGTGAATATTCATATTTTACAATGTGAATGTTCACATTGACATGTTAACATTCATATTGACGGTTTGAACATTCGCATTGTAAATATGAATATTATTAGAGGTATTTTGGTAACTATGTCACTCATAGGACTTATTAGAGGGAAATTCTATTTCCACACACCACATTATCTTTGTGTACATCGTTTCTCACTCCACACACTTAGTAATTTGATTCTAAGGTATTTATCTCAGTCCACACACCCCACATTCCAAATATACCCATTTAATAAAAAATGTGTGCACACCCTCATATTAGCCCACACAAATTCCCAAAATAGCCCTCCCTTCAGAACTTGGACACTCTATTTCTTCAAGTGATTCAGATGTGTGTGTTTAACTCTATGTGTGTGTTTAGGTGTGTATTTTTGTATGCATGTATGTATTTGTTGATTGTATGATAATTAAGAATTGGGTTTTGCATATGGGCTTTAGTTTTGGATTTTGGATTTCTTTAGCAAGTTACTACTTACTTTAGAGTTGAAGATTATTTGATTTGATTGTGTATGTTTGAGGCAGATGGAATAGTTGGAATTTCTTTGCATGCAACATCAATGAAATAGTTATCAAGGAAACATGTATCATCTTGCCCTTTGTTGGAATTGATAATCAAGTTTTTATGATGAAATTTTTTTGGGATGTGGGTATTTTATGGAATTTGGATGAATCTGTTAGTTGAAGAATGGCTGCAAGGACATATTAGATCTAGTGATGGGTTTGCTAGAAATGCAATGATTTTCGAGTAAAAGAAAGAAAAAAGTTTTTTGTACTTACTGAAATGGTTATTATCAGAGTTATTGTGGTTCTTCCACAACCATGATTGTGAAAGCATCTGAATCACCTATTGAATAACCCCGTGCAAGAAAAAAGTTTCATATGTGGCTTGAAATCTATGAATTTGTCAAACGACATGTTTTCCGGCGAAATACCGGCGTCATTTGCCCGGTTCAAGAACTTGACCCTTCTCAATCTGTTTTGAAACAAGCTCCATGGTTCAATACCCGAGTTTACTGGTAATTTGTGAGACGAAGTGGTTGGTGAGATGGTAGTGAGTGAGATATGTACGGAGAAATTGTGAGATATATGGGTGAGATGGTGATGGGTGAGATGATAATTTTGTTAAAGGATAAAATTGTGACTCTTAAAAATTCATTAAATGTGTGACATAAAGAAATTTAGTATGTGTAAATAGAATTTTTTCTTATTAAAATATAAAAAAATAATGTAAACTAAATGAAATATAAATAAATGAAAAGAAATTTATGAAAAAATACCAAAAAAAAATCAAATATTAACTTATAGCGGATACTTACGCTATCTTTGAGTAGAAAAAAAAAATACAGGCCGAAACCATATACCTCCTGTTCAAAAAAAACAAAAAAAACATCATACCCTCTCCCTCTCTCTCTCTTCTAAAATACCTCACTCCCTTCTTCCCCCAACTCCATACTCTCTCTCTCTACTTTCATCATTCGAGAAGAAGCCATGACGAGCACCGCCGCTCCTTCTCGCAAGGTTCTCTATGTGTATATGCATCATACATATTTAATTTTATATATAAATGTTTTGTGATTTTGATCGCTTGTTTGGTTCGTATTGTTAATTTTTCAATCGTGATTAGGTTCTGAGCAAGATCGCATGCAATCGACTCCAGAAGGAGCTTGTGGAATGGCAGGTTAATCCACCTGCAGGGTTCAAACACAAAGTCACTGATAATCTCCAAAGGTTCTTCCTCACTTGATTTTCATCTTCCGATTTAGTATTTTTTTTGAATTTAGGAGATGAGATTTCTGATTGTATGCAATTTGGGGTTTTTTTATTGGTGTAAAGATGGGTAATTGAAGTCAACGGTGCTCCAGGGACTCTGTACGCGAACGAGATGTATCAGCTTCAGGTTGATTTCCCAGAGCACTACCCTATGGAAGCCCCCCAGGTGATTTGAATTTTACTCATCCGATTGTTTCTTTGCGTTTGGTTGCTGAGAAAAAAAAAATGTTCTTTTTGTTGGAAAGAACAAAAGCCACTTGGACAAAAATTTTAGTAGCTGGCACTCTTGATCGGAGTTTTTCATGCTTTTAGGGTTAGGTATTTCAAATAATCTAAAATTATAATCCTGTTCTTAACTTGCTTTGGCGATGAAGTACAGTTATTATTGAGTACTTTTATTTGAGTGTGTTCCAAATGATTGTGTTTATGGTCTTAATTATGGGTGTTTTTGTTTTTGTTTGACAGGTTATTTTTGTTCCTCCGGCTCCACTTCATCCGCACATTTATAGCAATGGCCATATCTGTTTAGGTTTGTCTCAATATCTTTTACTCATCTCCAATTCTTGGAAAATTGAGTTGCTTTATATCTCTTTTCTATTAATGTTGCATATTGAATAATTTAGTGGGTCAATGTGAATTGTACACAATTACTGCCTGACCTACCATCCCAAGCATTCTATATGTGATCAAAGCATGTAATTTGCTGCTGTTGCCTATGCCCGTGGCTTTCTGTTGTTCCTTTAGCCACGGTCACATGGCTAACATGTTAGCATCATACCATTTGTTGGGCATGGCATGGGAGCACCAGTATGTGGCTCACAATGTGCGATAAAAGTGAGGTATTGTTGTTGCTGAGCGTATTTCAGTGGCTAGGTATGGATGGCTTACTTACTAAGGAATCCTACACTGTTTTGCTTGTGATAGACCCTTGTCTGGCTCTTGTGTTGGGTGGCAGTGGTGAGCATGTCTGCAGCTTGTGCATACGCATGGGTAGAGCCACATGGTTAGAGCATTGAGCAGGGTTATATGGCCCTACTGACACTTTTAAAGGATTGAAGTGTGTGGAGTTAAAGTTGATGGAGAGGTTTCACAGATAGTATAACCAAAGTCAATTGAGTGAAGATGATTTATTCATTTGAAGTAATTGAACTTCATTTGCCATTTATATCAAGTTAAAAGAAGACAAAAGTGGAGGACAGAAAGGAGATATCAACTTGTTCTGGAAAAAAGTTTTTACCTTTGTGCTCAACTAATATAAAAGCAGCAAAAGATGCAAACTGAAGTTTCCTATATTTGGTTAAATTCTTTCAATTTTTTAATTGTTTAGAATAAAAAAAGTTATGTTTGTGAAATTAATATTGTTATTTTTATTCTGTTGTTTAGTTTTGTACCTTGGAATAATTTTTTAAATTTTTTTTTTTAATGTTTATTACTATTAGTGGTTTTGCTAAGCTGATTGAAAATTTTCATATTGTTGTTGCCGTTGTGGACAATAGGATTAGAAAGCCAGAACGCTAAAGTTCTATCTGCAGTAGTTTTTTGAGTAAATTTTATGCCAAACCATCAATTATGGAATTAGTGTTTTTATTATTTGACACCTTTGCATCTGGAGCCCATATTACTGTAGACCTTGACACCAAAAACTTGAGTGAATTATGAGTATTTTTGCAACAATTTCTTGGGTTACTCTCTTCCTTGTTCTAGGCCATTTCAATGTCCCATGATGAACAATTTTTGCTACTTTTGCTTGTAAAGATTTGCCCATATTATAGACTACCCTTTCACCATATTTCTGATATAGAGGGCTTTATGGATGTCAGTTATCCAACCATAAGATGGCATTGTTGTGATCCCCTATTTCATACTTCATAAGGTGCTTGCATTTTCTTCTAAGCTTGAAAATTTTTATTATAGTCCAAGAGGAATCTGCTGGAAGGGGTTTCCCTGCATATTCGTCTTTGAAATGTGTGCAATTGTGGCCAATGGGCTAGTCTATCTAAATTTGTTTAATATTTAGGCATAACAACTTGGGCTAGCTTCATGAATCATTGTGTGTTAGGTGTGCAAATCATTTTGAAATTTCTTCCCTTGGTTGGCTGATATCCCTGGTAAAAAATAAGCCATTCATTATGCTCTGGTTGACAACCTTTGGCAGTGATTTTCAGGCATTTTTATTGTACTAGAAGGGATGCCAAGGTAGTCTTAGTACAATAAGTTTGATGGTTATTTATAGGGATGACAATCCGTCCCTGAATGGTGGGTGCTCGGTCTGCCTTGCCCCTAATGGATAGGTTAGGGAGTAGCTATTTGGACTAGGACAGGTTTAAATTGTAAAATGCAAACCTAACTCAGGTTTATGATGGGTCCAGACACCAGAATATGCAAGTTCCTGCCTTATCTAAGCTGATTATGAGGCTCTTCACAACAACAAATTGTACACAACCTTCTGGTAGCCTTTTAGGTTTGTTCAGGACCAGCAACCTAAAGCTTTATAAAATGTAAGAATTTTTGTTTTGATGTAGAATAGCTACTAATATTCTAGTTGGCTCAGTGAAGTTGAAGGCCACAATAGATTAGATCTAGAGTAATTTCTCACCACTCCTGTCAGGGGCCCAGTTCAAGGCTCAAGTATAGATTCCCTATGCTCATGGTGTTATTAACATCAAACTTGTTATTGAACCAAATTATTGTTAGGGCCCTCACTTAAGGACAGGGAGCTCCAAGAGCTCATGCAATTGTGTGTTGTTTCACTCCACGGATGTGAAGAGCTTAGTTGAACTTGCCCTACATAGGAAAAACAAAGTGAAAGAGTCACTTGAGTTTATAGAAAGTGTTCTGCCTCCCCTATCAACTAAACAATCTTTGAGTGGGAAACATGTATTTGACCATTGGTATGTAAGAAAATAATTAAAAAAGAACTGGATGGCTTATGATCTTTTGACACCTATTGAAAGTTGAAATTTGAAATTTGGCTGGAAGGCACCACTCATTGATAAAGTTTTGTCTTCATGCCCCACCCTTTTCATGGGTTGGGGATGGATTTGGAAGCGGTTTTTCTTCTCTAGGGCAGGTTTGGAAAGGGGTAATCTATCTGACCGATTGCCATTCCATTTATTTTGTCTATATAGAAGGTGAGTTTGTGTTGATGATTTTTCAAAAACATTGGGCATGTGGAGTGAAAAATGCTCTTTTACTACAAATGATAATTTGTTCATTATTGATCTTTGGGTGATGCCTTAATTAGTTTGATTTGTTTCTTTGCTACATTAAAGTTGGTAACAGAGTAAAGATTTTATTGTTTCCTCTGTATGTACTTGAAAATTTGGAGTTGCAAAGACAGCAGCAAATCAGATGTATAACATCCTTTGTATTCATGGTCATTATTCAGTTGATAAGTTGATCAGAAATCTGTAGGAAGTTTATATATGTGAAATTAATGCTAATATGATAGGTGATTGTAACACTATAAGATGGAAAAAGTAAATTGAAATAAGTTTGTAATGCTAGAACATGGAAAAGTGTCTTTAAAATAAGTTATGTTTGAAGAGGTCTATCATATTCCCCTCTGTTAAATGCTCTTCTTTTCCTGTTTCTTTTACTTCTTACTTTTTGGCCATTTTTTAATAAATTAAGTTCATTTCTTGTTTCCTTACGATTAACTATTTTGTTGCTGCAGAGTACAAAACAAACTAAAAACTGAGTCTTTGGAAGGAAATCTGATTTTTTTTGTTTTTTTGGTTGTTGTTGTGTGTTTTGTGGACAAACTAAGGTATTTATTTAAGAATATATATGAAGGACCATGAAATAGACATTATGTGTGTGCTCATGTAATATCATTAGGACACTAATTCTGTACCTGCAGAGTTCACTTCATCTTGTGTATGTTGTGTGATAATTCATCTTGTGTATGTTGTGTGACAATACTTTCAACAATCCACCTTTTCCAACTTAATGTCTACTGCCTGCTTATTGAACCATTAATTTGAAAATTTTGTTGGGAAGATTTCTTAGCGGCATAATCACATTTAATAATTACAAAATTGATATACCATAGTGTGAAGAGAGATGTGAAGTTTGATATTCTCGGTCTTTGGGGTTGAATGGGTGATGCCTGGTTGTGGCTCTTTTGGCTTGTTGGTGGAGAAGTTGCCCTAGGCTGGGGGAGAAATAAGTTTGGGAGGCCACACTTGTGCGCCATGTAGTGTATTTGACGAGAAAGAAATTGCAGGTCGCTGGAGGATTTAGAGCGTTTGGTCCATTGTTTAAAGACAATTGTCCTCTTTTCCCTGTATTTTTGGATGGGAAAATTTTCCCTTTTGTTTCTCTTCCCTCATTGACCATTTGGGGGACTTGTATATGCTTGTAGATACATAGGTTTAGGCTTTACCGCATACATTGGGTGTTTGTGGCCCCCTCTTTTTATGCTTTCTTTACGTATATGCTTATTTTGCAAAAGATAATAAGTTTACAAAATGGATGTTATAACACAACATAAGTGAAGACTATTTAAATTTTATGTTGGGAGGGTAAGTAAGACTTAAGATAATTTGAACATTTGACATTATTTTTGCAAAGCGGTTGTTCTCAGAGTTGAACCCACATTCTCACGTTTGATAGCTTGAGGTTTTCTCATTGCACCAAGCAATCCCCCTAAAATGAAAGAGAGAAAAATAAATCAAGCCTTGATTTTGTGGGTTAAGTCCTTTCACTTGCATGGTGAGGTGAATCCCTAATGACATGAGGTGTGAGCCTTTACCTTTCCGCTACCTCGGTCAGAAGACTCCCATCCCTCCATGGAAAAATAATAACACTATTAGTCCTAGAAGTACTAGTGGTAGTCATAGGTAGGTAAAAAAAGTTGTGAACTTGAGAGGTGTGGAAAGTGAGTTAGTCTCTAGATGTCATGTGTACAAGTCAACTTTAGGCTGTGAACCTTGGGTTCAACCACGTGGTGCTACCATGGATGAGTCTTAAATTTCTTTCACATGTTCTCGTATAGTACAATACATAACTTCTATATTGTGCATGTGATTTTCCCCTTGGTAAAACTTTACGTGCATAATACTGTGGTTCATAATTGATCTGTTAAGTAAGGCATTAGTTGTACAACTTCCAATGCATTTATCATTAGGTTAGGCTAGTCATACTAGATCCGGGATATCATTTGTACCAACTGTGTAGATAACATAAAGCATACGTGATTTTTCTTGAGGAAATAGAAACAATCTTAGAAGTTAAAAACTTTATATTAGGAAAGCAAAACAAAGAGAAACTTGCTTAGTTCTTTATAGATCTTGTCTCGGCATCTGGCTACAATGTTTTCTAACTTTTCTTCTCTGACTTACTCCATTCCCTCTTTGGTTACTTGCTAATAGATGAGTAGTTAATATTAATACATTGTCTTGGTCTTGCAAAAATGCATAATAAAATGTAGAATAAGAAATGGCTTCGGGGATTAGTTGAGTGAATTGTTTAAAACTTTTTACTGCCCTGATATCAGATAATAATTTTTTGTGGTTCATATAATTTCACAGTATCCAAGAGACATTTCAAACTATATTGGTAGAATGGGAAGAAACTGTTTGGTTCCCTTGTTTAATGTTGCTTTTCCTTTAGACAAGCATTTACATGTTTACTTCCCTTCAATGACCAACTTACTATGACTATTCTTGTGCAGATATTTTGTATGATTCATGGTCCCCAGCCATGACTGTTAGTTCGATCTGCATCAGCATTCTCTCCATGCTGTCGAGCTCCACCGTCAAGGTTTGATTTTATATTCCTTCAGTGTAGTGCTTTGATATATGTGTGTGTGTCGGTGCACATGCTTGAAGCAATATTCTCAGTGGCTGTTGACTTCTGTTCTTGTGCAGCAACGTCCAGCGGACAACGATCGCTATGTGAAGAACTGTAGGAATGGCAGGTCTCCCAAGGAGACAAGATGGTGGTTCCATGATGATAAAGTGTAACAATAATAATAATGGTAACCAAGAGACCTGTAACACCACCTCAGGACTAAGGAGGAGATTTTCATTTCCAATAGCATAATGACAGTTGGGGAAACAAACAAACATTTGAAAGCAGCTGCTGCTAAGGTGGCAATGGTGGGTGTAATTATAAAATTCGTAAGTAGTAATATGGTCTTCCAAGGAATGTATGAGAACCAAACCAGGCTGGTGTTATCTATGTTATAGTATGGGTAAGATGGAGTCTTTGAGCTTTTTCCCCTTTCCTCTCTGATGATACTTGCAGTTCTAACTTGAACTATGTTGGCACAATCTAATTTTCTGCAAAATATATCTATATATATAAGAATTGCTTTCTTGCTTGTGGGTTGTTTTTTTTATTCCTATTTTGCCCTTAGCTTGTTTTGAAATTTGTTATTTTGCCCTTTAGCTTGGTGAAACAATTTAGTGGCCTTTTGGAAATTATTCACTTTTTCTGCTTGAGGGTTGTTTTTTTTTCCAATTTTCTTGTTTTGAAATTTGTTATTTTGCCCTTTAGCTTGGTGAAACAATTTGGGTAGTGGCCTCTTGGAAATTATGTAAGAAATATTGGTTGCTTTGGTTGAGGAGGTTTGTCTTGGGTTATCTATTTTGCCCTTAGTTTGTTTTTGAATTTCCTATTTCGCCCCTTAACTTTTTTGGTGAAATAATTAGGGTGGACTTTTGGAAATTGTATAAGAATTTTGGTTCATTGTTTTTAGCTTAATAGTTCAGAAGGAGAGATTTTTTTGGCTTTATTTATTTTTTAACAGTGATGTTAAAGTGATTATTTGTATGGTGGTTATAATTTTAAATTTTTACTACTATGTCTATAATTTTTGTATAATTAAATACCAGTTATATTAAAAAAAATCAAAATTACTTTAGAGAATCAAGACTGATAACTAAAATGTATAAAAAAATATTTTAATTGTAATTTTAGTCAGTATTTTAACTTTTAATTATTTAAATTTGATTTAAAATTTTTTACGAATTTTAAAAATTGTTAAAATGTGGTTCATTTAACTATTAATTTAACTTTTATGTATATAAGAATCTCTTGCATTTTCATTGCCCACCTCCCCCCTCCCCTTTTTTTTTTTTGGTATTATTTACAAGAGAGGTTGAGGGTTGTATTTTTATTTTTCTATTTTGCCCTTTCTTCTAATATTATTTATAATTTTTTGTTTTTTATCTTTAACTAATGTATTTAGGGTAAATTATAAATACATTTCATGAAATTTGTTTAAAATACAAATTATTCTCTATAATTCTAGAAATTATATAAATATTTCTCTTGTCATATTTTTTTAATTGTTGTCCACTATGCAACAATAAAATTATTAAAATTGTTAATTAAAATATATTTCTGACATCATTAAAATTATTAATTAACTTAATGATTTATAAATAAAATAAGCAATTTGTTATGCGATTTGAAATTGGAAAAGGAGAGATGTAATTTTCAAAACCATATGAAACAATACATATTTTAAGCAAACCTCAAGGGGTATAATTGTAATTTATTCATTCATTTATCTATTTAATATAAACAAGGGAAAATTACATTTTAACCCCCTCAAATATTGTTCCACATCATTTCACCCCTTTAACTAAAAATACAAAGTGTTTTTTTTATTATTATTATGAAAAAGTTCACTAAAGATTAAAAAAAAAAAAAACCCCTAAAAAACTCAAAAATAATTTTTAAAAATTAAATCAAATAAATTGATAATATCATTTTAAGTATTCCACTTGGGATGTCATGTGTAACTCACATGTCAAGTTTTCATTTATTTATAAAACAAGTTCTTAATAGAATGTTTACATTGATACAAAATAATAGTTTAAGGTCAGAAAAAATATTAGCATTTTTTAGTTGAGAATGTAAAGTGATATTAGGTAATTAGTTCACAGAGAAAAGGTGTAAATTATCGTATTGCTGAAATAGTATTTGTGTCATGAAGGTTTAAATTGAAAAAAATTCATAAATGATGGAGGTGAAGTATTACAGTTTTTAGTTAAAGGGGTAAGGCAATACAGAGCAATATTAGTTGATCGTAATAAATTGTAATTTATCCTAGATTTGCATTTATTTATCCCCGTGTAGTTTTATTATTTATTTTAGAAAAAAGAACTTCAAAGTAATATATTAACAAACTTGAATGCCAAAAAAATTAATTATTAATATTGCATACAAAGCGAAAAACAAGTTTTAAATTAAAGTATTACGATGTATAAAATTTATAAAAAGTCAAGCAGTTTATGCCTGTCATAAAAAATAGTACACAAATAATCAACTTAAACAATCTAATTAATTTATATTTTCTCATACAAACCTTTTCATTTTATTGACCTGTACTATACATGGGCCTTTTTTTAATATCTATATATATATAAGAAGCACTTTGGTTTTACTATGGGTTGTTTTTGTTAGGTTCATTTTTTGATCATCTCATTTGGTTTGCCTGAGTGCCTAAGTGATTGTCTGATTTCTATACATTAGACTGTTACGTAACTTCACGGATGCCTCTATTTACACACCACATTTTGTTTCAAGGCACACTATTAATTGATTATTTTTTTATTACAATAATGACCATATCTAAAATGACCAAAATGACCACAAAAGAATATCAATACACACCTTAGTTGAATACACAACATCCAAACCCTAACCTTAGCCACCATTGTTGCAGCTGCCGCCATTTCACCGTCGTTGCCTCGTCGCCCCTCTCCAGCTCCGACGAATCCCCATCACCACAAACCCTCGCCAGCGATCTTTCTTTCTCTATCTCTTGCGATCTGTATTCTCGCAATCTACAAGGTGGTGGGTTGCAGGGTTGGTGACGGATGGGAGGCACGATTAGGCTAGAAATGGGACAGCGACAGGGCGCGAGTGAGAAGAGGGGTTGATAGTGGTGAAGATGGTCTACAAAAGGAGGCGACGACGGAGCTGAGAAGGAGGTAGCAGCAAATGCGAGGGAGGAGGGAAGAGTTGAAGACGGTGGCGACGATCTGCCGAGGTGGTGGGTCTCTGGGAATGGAGGCGACTTACGGGACTAGCAAGTGGGCAGCGACAGTTGCGAAGACAGAAGGAAGGATTGATGGCGGTGGCCATGGTTGGCATTGATGGTGGCTGTCAGTGATGGCTGTTGCCACCAGTGATAAGTGTCTAACAGTTAGGATTTCTTTTTTTCTTTTTTTTGAATTTGAGGTGTGGTCTAAGTGGTGTGGGACTAAGGACAAAAACGGAACGTTGTGGTGTGTGTTGAAAAAAATTATATTTTTTTAAATTATTAAAGGTGTGAACTGAGTAGTGATGTACCTTGAGACCAAATATAGTGTGTAAATAGAGGCACCCTAACTTCACCAGTTAAAGAGTTTTCTATTTCATTTTGCCTCATTCTTTTAAAATAATTACATTTTTACTATTTTATTTCTATATATATATATATATATATAATAAAAAACACTTTGGTTTTAAAAACTGTACCATGGGTTGCTTTTTACCACTTTGTTGCCTTGTTTCATGGTTTATTTTGTCTTTGTCTTGTTTTATCTTGATTATTTGTCTTATTACATCTTTCATTTGTTACTCCTATATTGTGATTTTTTTGGTTTATATATTCATCTACTTAATATAAATAAGATAGAATAATAGATTTATTTAGAAAAATAATTTTAGATAGATGGTAGACTTTATTAAACTTTGATAAATAATGTTACAAACTTTTCCATGAGTATGTAATAATTTTAAGAAAGGATAATTGTATTGTGATTTTTCCTATAAATAACGGTACATATTATACTATTTTAATAATAATCTCAAATAATCTATACTAATAAGAGGCACTTGATGTTGGAAAATTCTATTTCCACACACCTAGTTAGTTTAGGGTACACACTTAATGGTATACTAATTTAATGGCAATTATATCTTATATAAAAATGACCATAATAGACATCCAGTAACATCCATAATATTATATGAAAAAATTCTCTGTACATATTTTTTAGGAATAAAAAAAATCTCAATGTACACCTTATGAGTTAAAAAAAAGTAAACCCTAGTTTTTCCATTATTGTCACAATACTTGTTACACACTCTATAACCATCTATTGCTTGCAAAACAATACTCTCAAAATATCTCTCATATTGCTTTAATCTCTAGGTTTATACTATATTATTATATCATTTTCGTATTATAATTCCACAATTTTTGCTTGATTTTGATATGGAAGAGTTGTAAAACCAATGAAAGTTTGAACTCAAGCAAGAAATTAACAACTCAACATTTGGATTCAGAACAATTATGAATGCACCCATTCAAATTTATTCATGTAAAATAAACACTAAAGACAGATTTCACAAAATAGTATAGAAATTCTCAAAAATAAAAAAATAAAAAACAGAAATAGTACTTGAAACTGCACTGTATTTTTATTTTTATTTTTTCTATCTTTATTAACAGAATCCCTTCCTCAATCTGCATTCTTCAATTATTTCTTTCTTTTACTCACTATTCTTTATTTTTTTTCTTTACCCCTCTATTTCTTTTTCCTTTTCTTTTCTTTTTTTCCTGTGCTTTTTTTTTTAATTAACCTTGAGTGGTCTTTGTATTTTTCTTCTTCTTCTTTGGAATGTCCACAATGAATGCCTCTTTCCTTTTTTTTATTATGCAAAGAAAAAGGGCAAGTGGGTGGTTTAAAATCCCTTTTTCTTGCAAACCATAAAACCGTTTTTAGTAGGGGTGGACGCGGGTCGGTTGCGGCCACGGAACTTCCAATCCGCCATCCGTCTGCCAAATTGGTGGATTGGAGAAAATCAATCCGTATTCGTCTGCCAATCCGGCGGATGTGGAATGAGCGGATTGGCGGATGGATGTGAATCAGTTTGGCGGTTTAAAATTTTATAAATTTTCAACATAATTCAACTTGTGCACTTCCTCAAAAAAAAAAAAAAAAAAAAGAAGAAAGTATTACAGTCAATGACTTAAAAAAATATTATAATCACTGCATGCCTCATCTAAAGCAAGAAAGTTTGAAACTTTAGAATATCACAATCACTGCATGCCTCATCCACATAAAGTATTACAATCTGTGGTTCTTAAAATATAAAAACAATTCAAACCACCACAACCATGAACATAGCAGTAGTAAAGATTGTATGTCTCTGTATTGTTACATCTATATCTGTTTTTGAAAACAAAAACCAAACAGTATATATCATATTTTCTATTTATTATTTTTAGAGATAGATTTAAAAACAAAAAAATATAGATAAATAATACGTTTATTTTTTTCAATTCAAAAAAGATATTTAAGTTGAAATTTTTTTTCA